AAGCAAGAACGTTGTTAAGTGAGGTTCACCACATTTTACAAGTTGGCCTCGCCCACCCAGTCACATGGCCAGCAAGCCACTCTCACAAAGCAATCCACACCTACAGAAGAGGGTCTAAAAAATTTTGAAACCCACCACTGGACTCGAGGCACAGCTGTTCCCCCCACCCCCTACTGTTCTACTTACCTTTGCAGACTTAGAAAAGGCTTCTTAGTGCTTGTGGTGCATATGCGTGTGCGAAGTGAACCAGTAGCAGACTTCAGAGTATTTCACCCCGGACTCAAGACACTACAAAGTTTCCCCTGCATGGCCCCCTGGGAGTCTGACAACCAATCAGAATACATTTCTTACACAGGAACAGGAAGCTCCAAGGCAGGGCAAGGGGGTATAAATCTCTCTCTCTCAGCCATATGCTTTATTTTTTGCCCAGGATCTCAAACCATGTGGTCCTGTCCACCATTAAACCATCTTTCCAAGCAGTTTCCATATTTCCAGTGTCTTTCTCCCCACTTGGAACTGAACCCAGATGGACATTCCTTCCAACAGCTGTTAGAATGGTACATTTGAATGAGGAATTTGAAGCAATAAGAAAAAGCAATACAATTTTCATGGAAGAAATTTTAGGGATAAGGTACAGAAAGGGACAGTGAACTATCACATAGGAAGAAAATGTGAAAAAGAGGGTCAAGTTGAAAAATAAAGATAACTTAAAAAAAAATCTTCTGCTGAATGGAAAACAGCAAAAGAATTTGAAAGGTTTATGTGCCTGGTTCTATATTTGAGTTGTTGATGCTATGAAATAACACAGTAGTATTTGCAGAGATTTTCTGAGAGAGAGATGTGTGAGTGTGCCACTTGGGAGCTATCAGAACAGCACTCCACCCTGTGTTAAAAAGCAAGAGATGGGTGGTTTGGGTGAAGAAAAATCAGGGGTATGACGCAGGAGAGAATCAAGTAACGTCATTGAAATTACATTTAGAGGAATGCACTGTGGTTGGAGTAGAGAATAATGAGAAGAAAGAAATGGGACAATATTTTGGCATGAATTTTTATAAAGGAAAATTCATTTATAAAATAAAATATTTCACTTAATGTATTATTCTGTGTCTCTTGCACATTTTTATAAGCTAGTGTAAGAAAATGTATAGAAAACTGCAGATGAATAGAAAACTGTCTGAATTACAACATTGAGCCAATTGTCCTTTTCTTGTAGCAATTTAAACTACTATGTATAATTTTCTTTACCAATATGTAATAATAAGAATAAAATTTACATCAAGGGGCTAGAGATAGCTGCTATTATTATCTTTACTAGAATTTTAAAAAACCCAAATATTGGATCGTGTTCGTGTTACTGAATCTTTTAATTCTTCAACTGTTATTGTTGCAGGATTGCGTAAAATGAAAGAAACTAGGGTAGATTAAAAAGCTTATTTGAAAGCTTTTTTAATGTATTATTTTATTTCTGCATACATTAAAAATACTATATAGTTCAATTTTGTCACGTTCACCAGTTCTTATGATTTAACTCCTTGAAAGCTATGAAGAAGTAATGAAAGAAATTACCTGTCTTAAACTGATAGATGCTTTCTATGAGCTACTTCTATTTTAGTGCCCTTTAAATTCAAACATGAGAAAATTGCAGAAATTTACAATTCAATGTGTGTTTCATCAGGGAGGAATTCACAGATTGTTTTGACACCCAGTTACAAATTCAGCATGAAGATGGACGTCTCATGAAATTTGCAGCTGCTGATTGAATTTATATTTCCATAAAGCCCATCAACAGTAGCTGCCTGAAGGGAAGTGTTGGGGGGAAATGACAAAAAATGTGAGGCTAGCATTTTTCTTCAGAGTTATAATGACAAATTACTTGTAATAAGGTCTTACACTGACCAGGATTAAACGAAAAATATAGGCAGCCAGAAAGGAATTATTTCTCCCCCCCCCCCAATTGATTTGAACTAAAACCATCTAGAGCTGATATCTAAATATATGTTTAGTCATCTGCAGGATATGCTAAATGCAGCCACAAATCAGAAATGTTCTCACCTTAGGAAAAAAAAAGGAAGCATTTGCAGGTAATTATAGAGAATTTGTCATACAGATAATCTTATTTTATAGTAATGTCCTGCGTTTGAAGATGAATGTTATACTCACACAAAAGTAGGCCATCTTCATAGGAACCCTTCTCTCCCCACCCAGCGCCCCCCATCATCTGCCTTTTCTTTCCCTTTCAGCTCTGAAATTGGTTTTCAGGGAAGCAGGGGAAAAGCTTATTTAAAACCTGTAAACAAAAAAAGGAGATTACTTTGATGTTCTAATACTAATAAAGCAATTAATAAATTAAAACAAATTGTATAGATTTATTCATGCTTTGAAATATTAAATGGAGCATTTACAAACTGTTCCTATAGAGGAAAAGGGAAAATGTAAGTGTTTTTTTTAAATTAGGCATTAGGCATTATGGTTATAATATTGTAGTTGTTAAGAGAATACAACTTCCTTAATTTCAAACTTTCCAAGCACACACACACACACACACACACACACACACACACACACACACACACGTGTGTGTGCGTGTATATATATATATATATATTTAAAGTTTATTTATCAGCACAAATAAAAAAACATATGTATTTCTGCTAATTCTGCCATCTTTACAGTTCATTCCTCTTATTATTGTATATAGCAGGGTTGTTCTCCAACTTGCTGCAATTACTATATATAAATTATTAATATGTAGAATACTTATTTGATTCTTATGAATCAAATTATTTTAAAGTGTAATCTATAACTAATATATAATTTCTTGAATTCCTCAACCTTGGACAAAAGTTTTGCATAAAAATGCACTGAATACTAAATTTGATGAGTTTCAAAGCAGTTGAATATCCAGGTACCATTGTACCATATACAGTGTATATACATAGTATATGTATATACTATTTCATACTACAATTCTCAGGTTATTGGAAAAATATAATAAAAGTATTTCTATATCAGTTATGGAATCATTCTTAATTATCCACAATTTCTCCCCCTTGAAACAGGTCAGAACATTAAAGAGAGAAGAATTGTGAAAGCTGTCAATCTAGAAGAATATCAGTATGAATCTGGAGCCATTCCAACAGAATGGGAAGGTAAGACATCATTGGCATTGTTGGGGAAAAGCATGACTTACTGACCCTGACCTCTCCCAAGTTGTACAGAAGAGAGACAAGACAACATTTCTAGCCCGCCCTTATTAATGTAAGAATACTTAAGAAGGCACAATTTTGTCTTTCTTGACATTTTGTCTCTTCAGTTTGTCCAGGCATCATTTCCTCTTCTACAGTGCTGTTCCATTTTAGTAGATACACCCCTCCCCCCAAAAAATGGAACTTGCAGATAGATGTGAACTTGATCCATAGATTTAGATACATAAACCTAGATTCAAACCTCAGTTCTAAAGTATTGACTTTTTTTTAAAAAAAAGAAACTGAGCAAGTTAATATAATGTCTGAAAGTTGGATAGAAAAATGCAAGACTCCGCTCTGAGTGCATTTTGAAATAAGAAAAGCAGTTTTGATCGAATGAGCCTTGACAATTATGCATATAAGCTAAACGTCTTTTTATATGGTTTTCCCAAGATTAGGATAAATTTGCACATCTAAGATTCTTATTACCTAGGAAATAAACCATGTGTGGCAAGATATACTTTTAGTTGCATTTGCTTTTTTACTTAAGCATTCTTATAATTACCATAGCATTTTCTTCCCTTTGTGATTATTGCGGCACTAAGAATAGAATAACAGAGGGACCTCGGAAGGGATCTTGGAAGTCTTCTAGTCCAACCTCCTGCTTAGGCAGGAAACCTACATCATTTCAGACAAATGGTTATCCAACATCTTCTTGTTGTAAATATGTTTTATTTCATTTCATTTAGTAGAATCACATATATACTGTGCATAACCGGGGCATATAACATTGAACAATAAACACAGCCCACCCTCTTGTCAACAATACCCCCCAAAATACAAACCCAATACACCACTTCAACCCACCATACACCCTTTCTTTCACCCCCCTCCAACTTTCATTCTTCCCTCCAACGTTCCCCTCTATCCTACTTCCCTTCCCCCTCTATCACTCCTCTCTCCCAATACACTCCCTCCCTTCCTTCTCATCCTCCCTCCAATCCTTTCTCTCACCCTCTCTACCCCTCTTTCTTCTTTCCCTCTACTCCTCCCTTTGGTGTATCTCTGCTATCTATCAATATATTCAGCTTGTCTTATTTTAACACTAGAATTAAAGAGCAACAGTATACAAGTGCAATCGTGTTATTTTAAAATCTAACATGTACTATATTTCCCCCCTCCCCCCTAAGACCCCACCTCCCTTCCCTCCCCCCGACTTCCCAGAGCCCGTACACGGTATAGCTTTTTAACAAACAAAGTCTAAAATTTGTTAAAACAAAGGAAATTAAAGGGAAAAAAAGAGAGTCAATAAGATCTCTATGTTGAGCTCAGCTTCCCAACATCTTCTTAAAAACTTCCACTGTTGGCGCATTTACAACTTCTGGAATCAAGTTGTTCCATTGATTAATTGTTCTAACTGTCAGGAAATTTTTCCTTAGAAATTAGAGGTTGCTTCTCTCCTTGAATTAGTTTCCACCCATTGCTTCTTGTCCTACCCTCAGGTGCTTTGGAGAATAACTTTGACTCCCTCTTCTTTGTGGCAGCCCCTGAGATATTGGAGCACTGCTATCATGTCATCCCTGGTCCTTCTTTTCATTAAACTAGGCATACCCAGTTCCTGCAACCGTTCTTCATATGTTTTAGCTTCCTGTCCCCTAATCATCTTTGTTGCTCTTCTCTGCATTCTTTCTAGAGTCTCAACATCTTTTTTACATTGTGGTGACCAAAACTGAATGCAGTATTCCAAGTGTGGCCTTACCAAGGCACTAAATTGAAAGGATTTGTGAAGAGCATAGAAATAAAGTGTTATGAATAAGCTGTAGTCTTTTTTTCTTTTCTTTAAACACAGCTCCTTTTAGGGAATGTGAACTTCAAAGTGCTTTGTTTTGTTATCCATTTAGGCAAAGAAGGTGTACAATGTATTTTTGTTTGTGGCAAAGAGAACAGATAAGAACCCAGGTGCTTAAACACAAAGAGCAACATTAACTGGATTTTTTAAATTAACATTTCAACTGCTAAATGTTTCCGTTTAGAGATTGTAATGTAAAAAAATTGCAGGCCTTCTTCTCTATAAGAGAAGAAGGTTGGGTTTTAAATGCTGCAGCATTTATATAACTTGGTGTTCAAAACATTATTTCACTACATCAGTTCCAATGAATGAAGACATTTATTCCAGTTTTTAATTTTTTCCCTATATGAAGCTGTGGGAATTTATCTTTTTCCATTCTTGCTAATGTGGAGCGTCCATTACAGTTTACATGCATTACAGAATTTTGCCTTTTTGCATATACTGTAGCATACATTACAAGAACCTGAAGTTGCACATGTTTGAGGATGAAATTCTTTTTAATTTTTGTGCATTTCTTTAATGGAGTAAGCATCTTGAGAATTTAATGAACAGAAAAGCAAGCTGTAAATTGAAGAAATAATCTACTCAGGTGTGGACATATTTTATATCTGGTCCAGACACACTATGCACCAACAAAAAATTTGCAAACACTCCCTTCTCAATTGATTAGTTTGGAAAGCTTTTCTCAAGCTTAATTATTACAGACCTTTTAAGCAGTATTTAATTCATGGCCAGAGGATTCCCATTACTAAGTTAATAACTAAGTTTATAGTTGTATTGTAACCACAAGTCATAACATATAACGTACCATAAAATAAAATACAATAAACATCGAATAGTAAGAATCTCAATAGTTCACAGGTTAGACTTGATACTTGACACAGAAAGCATGGGTTTCTATGAAATAGCACTTATAACTGTTTTACCGATTTCAAGACATTCTTGATAGATAATAGCCAACTACAGTACTGAATTCTTCAAAGAATGTATGATTCATCTTTCTGCTTGGGATGAATAGAAATTAGCATAGGATATTTACTTCAATTGATTATTATTATTTTGTATTGTATTTCCATTGTATATGTGCTATAAAATGTGGATATATTTTGTGTTATAAAATCTGGGTATATTTTACTTACCAATCCTTTCAAATCAAAGTAAGCTGATGATTTTTGCCGATTTCCCACAAAACTCCCAACTCCCATTGGAATCTTGAACATGAGTTTTCCTTGTTGAAACCAGGAACATAATAACAGAGGATTAGGTTTGCTTTTACTTACATATCTGTTGTGGCCCAGCAGGATCCGGTTGAGCTGCTGATGGACTCGGATAGCGAGGAACCATATGAGTCTGCCAGGGAAGATGTGGAGGACCCTGGGCAGGGTTCAGACTCAGAGCAGGGACCAGAGAGGCTGGCTGGCCACCAGGAGACGCCTGAGGCATGGAGCAGTGGGGAGGATTAAAGGCAGTTTGTCCCTGACACAAGATTAAGAAGGGTGGAGAAACGGAAGCAGCAGCTCCGGAGGCAGACTCAGATGATAATTAAACCCAGGTGGTTGTGTCTTGGCCCCTCTTAAGAGAGTATATAAGTGGAGAAGTTGGGAGAGGACATTTGCAGGACACAACCGTTTGAAACAGTATTGGAAAACTCTGTCTTCTATCCGTGCCTGTTGGATTTTGGGTTGCTGCCAACTATTTTTGCATGTGAGTCTTGTCCAGGCCTTCAGCCAAAGGAGTCCGTGATTAAAGAGTGGCAAACAACCAAGCCTGTGTCTGGGTGATTCACAGGAGGGGGGGGAGGTCAGAACTCATATCTAGGGAACATCCATATTTACTTGCCTAGGTTTCTTTTTAAGACAAAATGCAAGGCATTATTTTTCCAGAGCAGAAAATGGTCATAACCTTTATGATTTTTAATTTTCAGTGGACACTGATTGTATCTGAAGTTAGAAGGTGCTATTTCCGTTTTCCATATTGTTAGTCTTCGTGAAAAATATAGTCACTTTCAGTGTCTTTGGAGACATCAGTGTTTGTGTTTTTCATGCTGTATTTTACAGTCTGTGTGTTCAAGTTGGTCCCTCTTTGTTTAATGGGTAACATTTAGTGATTAATGGGAGTTTTAATTTACATGCCCACTTTTACGCTTATTACAATGCGCTATATGCCACTAGGAGTCTTAAAGTTCAATGAAAATCTCATGCATACTAATGAGAATGCAGATGAGCACTGAAATGAAAGAATGCCAAGGTCTCAAGATATGATATGTCCAGTTTATCTTGCTTACATTCTGCTTAGAAAATGGTAGTGTTATCATGAGCATATGTTGCAGATAATGCTATACCATTTTTACAATTAAAGGCAACTGTTTAATTAGATGATTTGAACTACAATGGATTTCCAAAACTGTGCAAGAGCATGTTGCAAAATTGGACTCTGTCTATACATTTCTACACTTTCTTTGTTCATTTTGGGTGGAAGGGTACTGTTCCACTTAGAAACTATTTTGGCTGCAGTTCCATAAAAGTGCTTTGTTTTGTTAGGGTAGAATTTACAAAGTTTTTTTTTNATATTTGGAGTTGAGAAATGGACAGAGGCAAAAGATTTTGCATCCAATGACTTCTTTCATGTCTTTGTTCCTCTCTTTCCATGCATATTGAGCCTTAAACTCTGTTAGTCTGCTGGACTGTTACGTTCAGTTAGACTCCCTGTTTCCTCATTGGAATACTTTAAGCTAGGTGAGTTAAAGACTACTGAGCTTATTAGAGTAAAAATACTCTGTTGATTTTCCACAACACTGTTTTTTTTAATGGAAATATCCTGAGGAGATAGGCTTTAATATGAAATTGAATTCATTAATGTGTTTCTTAGCTGGTATGGGAGGTCTGAAAATGGTTAAAAATAAAAAGTATGGTAAAGAACTATTTTTCATTTCTAATGTGCTATGTGTTTGCTTTGCAGTAATAAAAACTAAGTGGCTTTTGAATTGCACAGTTGGATACAAGGTGAAATGTTAAAGAGAAGAAACTTTTCATGACAGCTCCTGTCTTGTTTCAAACTATTTCGAGCATTTCCATAATTATTTGTTTTGACAGCCTTCTTGTCAAGGAAGGAAAAT